CTCTCGTTTTCAATTATCTTTTGGTTTGGCCAATATAAGATGTCACAATTATGACATGAAATTTTATATACCACCACATCATGATGTGACATTGGTTTTAAAATATATTTACCTGTTGTGATATATTTCTTTAGGGTACTTGGAATGGAAAAGACAGGTTCTAAATTGATTCCCTTAGATATATAAGAGAATGCCTCTGAAAAGAATTGTATATATGATACAGTATATCGATTGATGTTATTATTTTGTTCATTATGTGAGATAGTTATGTTGCAATAATATTTTATTCTAGTGTGCATTGCAGAAAATATAAAAGGAAGAGGCTAACAGTACTTAAGTAAAACAGTAATCATATTAATCAGACTTTTTTGATGAAATTTCGAGTGAGATAACTGCGATATTTTGTCAATCATTCCGTAAATCACACCCCTTTGGTGACATTTAAGATGTTGTGAACCGAAATTTAAATATCTCTCAGAAAAAGTTGATTTTTTGTAACAGTCAAAAATAATCTCGTAATTATCCACACTGATAGTTAAATTTAAAAAATTCAAACTGTTCCCATCACCAATTTCAAAAGTGAATTGTATACGGTCATGTAATGAATTGAAACACTCTTTTATCTGATCGTAAAACTCAGGAGGAGCGGCTAAGAGAACGTATTTGTAGTAAAAGAGTGATTGACAAGGAAAACTTTGAATTGCGATCTTCTCTAGCAATTATATGTAAAACTACAACAATTATTATGGGTAATTTTGGAACTCACTATTAAAGGTATATATTTACACATATTTAAAGTAAAATTATAATTTAAGATAAAATTATATTCTTCTTTAATAGTAATTATAAACAATTTGTCAAAGTAAATTTACAAATGAAAAGTTAAGTTTATAGAAATATTTAATCATTAATTCAATAAATTACGTATAATTTTTCTTAAGCTATGTTATTGACGTAAAACAAAAAAAATATAAAAATGCAAATATAATATGTACAATATGTTATCATTATGTTATATAATATTACAAAAATGTGCATATATTTACATGGAACCTACATAATATTCTGTTATTGTAATTTTTGAATCTAATTGAATAATATATTTATACAATTAAAGATAAAAGAAGACTAATTTATGTAGAAGCGCACAATTTTATATTTTTCCACTATAAATTAAGTAATTTTTTTCTTATATTATATTTTACATAATTTTACATCCTTTTCTTATAGTATTATTGGACGTGTGTTTTATATAAAATTTAATATCTAAAAATATAAATAAAAGAATGTATGTGACTGTCATCAGTTGTATACCGGTCGGAGCCCGCATTTTCAGCTGTTAGTGAAAGCACGCACATGCAAGCACCCACACGGAGATCGGATCTCCAATCATATCCCTTTTCCTCTCCCGTGGTCCACGTGCGCCCCGCGCACGGTACGGTATATCGAATTCCGCGTGTGAATCAGCATTAAGAACGTGAAGACCCATCACTTTCTCCGGGCGTCGAGCGGGAGCTCACCATTACTTTCGCCCAAATCGAAGGATAATTGTTTTCTCGTGTGCGTTCCGCTGCGCTAGGATCGGTTATAGTTTTCTTTTGATGCATCGCGTACACTGTCATACACTCTAATAGCCGACAACAACAACAATAGATCCAGCCAAGCGTCACGGAGAAAAGTTCTGCACGCGCCGCCGAGCTAAATGTCGGTGATAATGTACGTGCGCGCGTCCGGAATTATATAATAAAACTAAATAATATCACGTTTCGCCCTGAAAATGAAGCTCTATTACATTGTGCGCGCATTATTAACCGTTGTATCTATTACCAGCGCGGAATTAATTTTCCATATAATGTACCCAATGCATAAGAAAATAATTCGATATCGTATTATATATTTCGAAATTGCTTATTATATACCTCAGTAAGTACTGTATCATCACGTGTATTTATACTGAAGATTGCGTTGCGATTCTTCGTAATAATGGAAATGATATGTAATGATAGAGAATTTATAATAACTTACGAGAATTTATAATAACTTAAGTTCGCTTCCAGGATCAGTTCACTTGCTCATTTCTACTAATGCAAATTGCGATCTCGGTTCAACTTCCTTTTTATCTTTTTCTAATTCTAAGAATTAGAAAAATGAAAAGTAAACTAAATCGAGAAAAATATAATAACAAATTAAAATATAATAATAAAGACTACCAATGTGTAGATTTACTTCCTTTATATAAAATAAATTTCCCAGGAACATTCTATATTCTAAGAACGTTCTCAAGATATTTTTCAAATAAAGTGTGCCGTATGAGTCAGTTTAATTACTCTTCATCTTTTTTTAATTCTAAGAATTATGTTCATTTTTACCAACGTAGATTAATTTCAATCTCGGTTTAACTTATTCTTTATCTTTTTCTAATCCTTAGAACTATAAGAAGATAAAGAGTAAGTTAAATGAAGATTAAAGTTAATCTATATTGACAGAAATAAATCTTAAGATACGATAAAAAGTAAATTAAACCGAGATTAACGTTAATCTACATTGGAACAAATGAACTTAACTTTGTTATATTTACTTAGCCATTAAGATAATAGCTAACTCTTGATGCTGACACTCTGTTGTATAAATTTATACAGACCGAACCTGTTCAAGTTTACGTTGCATTGAATGGAGAGACTTTTATCTTTCGATTGCTCATTCTCATTGTCGCAATCGTACCGGATATGTCATATGTGACAGCTTCTGTTCTCTATCGACTTTTCTCTGCCGAAGCAAAACGATGGGAAGTATCGCAGGTAAAGACTTGAACAGAGACTCAATATAAGTATGTTCGAAATTTGTTTTTGTGCCTTAATATGTTTCGAAAACCTATCCGCGTTTCCTTTCGGAGGATAGAAACCGGTTTCTGAAGAAATCTTGACGTCGCAACTGTGGATCTTATTCACGGCCTTGAAAAGAGTAAGCATTTTCGCGGTCTAATTCATCGATCTTTCGTGACGAACACTTTCCATTGTGTAACAAATCTTTTCTCGCGCTCTAGCCACTTAGTTTCTGGGCCATTTTCAAGATCACAAATGATAGATGTACAATAACGATTGCTTTTTAGCGGACAGTTATGTAAAAATCGCATTTTGCGAAATAAAAATCAAAGGAAGGATGAATCAACGTATTTCTATTAATTGTTTGCTTAAGCCTGATTTACATAATGTTTTTTACTAATGACTAGCGCGCTAGTCTTCTAGTTAAAGAACTAATAATAAAAGAATATAATTTATAGATTTTAATATTTATAGGTTTTTATATTGTTTTAGCTAATTTTCTTTAGTTTTCTAAAAGATTAACACGCTAATAAAAAATGTGTAACTCAGGCCTTATAGAGAATTACAAGATGCATTTACTCTCACGACGCTTATTGCTAGACAGTTTAAGTGACAAGTTAAAAGCCTGCTGGTACAACTCTTCCACGTTTCTCTCTTCAGACCTCTATCGAATTCTGTTACGTAAACCACGAGAAGTGTTTGGGCAATGCGTGTACAACGGTACCGAAGCGTGCATCCTCAATGCGACGTCGCCAGCGTTTCGTTTTGAGAAAGAACGGAAGTACTTTCACTGCCTACGAGGATGGCAGTTTAAAAAATCTCTTCTGAGGCGCCACGTGACGCGAAAATCGCGTTTTAAACCAATGATCACGCGCCTTTTACGAAACCATGTCTACTTTCCGAAATCAGAGAGAACTTTCTTCTCGTAAAATTACCAGAAATGTAAACGTTTTCGTGTCTGCCTACAAATCTCGAGAAACGCAACGTTTTTGTCGGCCATTATTTTGTATTTTTGGAACAAATTTCTGCACGAATTGAGTTAATAAATACAATTGCTTGTAAAGGTGGAGTATGCAGGTGAAATTCATGCGGGAAATTTAGTAGACAATCCAGTTTCATAAAATGAATTATTCAGTTACAAGAAGATACTCTTTTTTTGAAATCAATTTTAATGCGATTGTGAATTATCTAAAATTGATATTCAATCGGAATATTCCTTTTTTAACAGGCTCCTGTTATTAAGTCTATATTACTATTAAGCCTAGAAATCACTAGCATAACGCGATTGTTAAACTTAATGTCGTATTATGTTGAAATCCAGGTTGAGAATCTGGCACCAATCGCTTCCAGGCGTCAAAATCACCGCACGCATCGGCTTGCACTTTTCGCTTAACACACTTTTTATACGTAAGAAACGACTGATAGCCTCTCTTTGGAAAGATAGGTACTCTCCACGAAGCCAATCTTGCTTTCTCCCCGCTTTTATAGTAACTGCCGTTTAATCACACTTTAAGCTTAACGAAACGAAACGAAACCGGGCATTCCGTTCTATGTGCCTTCACCCATTGCGCCGATTCCGACAATAAATCGAATAAATTTGATCTGCTTTGCTATGTGTTCTCCACGTACACGATTATCGTTCGTACAATCAAGCACGCGATAAAATAGGTGAAAGTTTTCATTTTTGAAACTAAGTTGATCAATGGACGAAGTTCATCTTGCATTGTTAACAAAAAAAAAAGAAAAAGAAACGTGCTTCTGATCGTGAGATACATCTTTCATCGCGTTGCACTGTTTTAGCAAACACTTGCTTCTAATATTGTTTCTCCGCAATAATGAACTACACATACGACGATCTCAAATTATGAACTTAAATTGCATCTTGTTATAGAAATGCAACAGACTTTTCTCTTTCGAATTGCTTTCTCCCTGCTAAATAAGTAACATCCCCTCCTCTTCCTATAGTTTTAAGAAGTATTTTATATAATATTCACACCGCGAGCTACTAACAATATTCATTAGTCTCTGCTTTTATCTTATTCGTGTGAACTATTCCCAGATTTCGCGGGTATTCTTTTTATATTAGCGTTTTAAGATTAGAAAATAGAAAACGCGAGGAATAAAATAGACCAGCCGTCTACGAAAGTGGGAGACAAATCGGCGTGAGATTGCACTCACCGATTCAACAGACGTGACCTTCCCGGATTTCTCCTCGGCTGATCGAAGCAATGCGAGCGATTTCTCAGGAGGAACCAGCCAGGACACTATTCCTGCCGCCCACTCTCCTGCGACCTCTTCGTCTGCCTCGTATGACCGAGGTAGTCCTCAGCACCATAACACAATTGAGGGTACCGTCGCGACAGGTGGTTGCTTCCGTATCACCGCTTAGATATTGTTCGTCGTTGATTATCTTCCAATTCCACAATCACAAAACGCTCGCGCACTTGTAATCTACATATTCAGAACAGCAAAAATCGAACCTGCGGTTGTACTCTCGAAACTATTGCAAGAAGCTATAACGTCTTGTTAGCGTAGTCGTGCGTTATCGCGACATGATAAGGTTTTGTCACTTCGGTGACTAATAAAATCGTGTTCGAACTTAGAAATACCGTCCTAGTTCCGTTATTGTCAAGCTTTGGGATTTCTATCTTTTGTATCTTTAAAAGACCGCCGCTTTTTTTATTTTTTTCTTCACTTGCACTTGTTTTCTTTGACCCTGTCTTACACTGAAGATTATCCAATCTCTCGATCTGAGTCTCCCGATTCCGAAAGAAGAATTTCTTTTTTGGAACCCAACACTTCGTGAACGACCGATGGAGCGTATCGGTTACCACATGGTGGCAAAGCTCCACACCGTGTGGAAGGCTCGCACCATGTCTATCCTCTCTCGTCGAGGGACTCCGAAGAACGCCTGCTCGTCGTCAATGTCTGCCGGCACTGCTACGTCTGCTCTCACTTTCTCCGTCGAGTAGTTTCATTTCGATACGTAAAACTCTCTCGCAGTGCCTCCCCACTGTCGCGTGCGAGGTGACAGCCGCCGGCGCCGCCACCAATCCTCGGCATCCAAATAAAAAAAAAAAAAAATAAAACTAACCAGTGCCCGCGGAAAAGATCCTTGATTGTTCGATAATCCAAAATGATTCTTCTCTTCTCCTATTTTTTTTTTTTATTCATCGGTCTCACCGAGCTTTTATAATACCTTCTGACATTCGGCAATGACGGAGATTTCCTAGGAAAGATATACAATAATTTCAGAGTAACTTCAACTTTTTTCAAGTATTATAAATTATATATATATTTTTGTGTTAGTGATGATAGTGCGTTTGTCATAATGCTAGTATACAGTAATATTTTACTTCAGATATTCGAGATAAATAAACAATATTATCGTAAAAGAGCGCGAATCAAAAGGGATTACGCCTCCTAGAATTGCAAAGGATGAAATGACATCTGAATATCATCAAAATCTACGATAGTGCACCTAATCTCTCGCCGCATTGTTCCTTTGTTCATTAATAACTTCCACAGGCTGAACAAGATGCAGGTACCTAATTTCTTACTTACTAGAAAGTTACAGACACTCGACATTTCTATCTTATAATATTAATTAAGGTGAGAGTTCATGTAAATATTTAAAAAAAACACAGAAAAAATACATCACAAATCAAGTAGAAATCATTACGCAAAAAAAATTTTCATATCTATCATCAAACATCTGTAATCCGAAGAATTTATCAGGTAGTGAATATCTTGTGTATAAAATAACCTTAGTATTTTTTACAAAAAATTATTTTCAATAATTCAAAAAACTTTAACATTATTATTAAATTGTATTTTAGTTTAATATGTAATATTATATATGGCTTTATCTTCAATTTAGAACTGTGTATTAAGATCAATAAATAATCGGCGAGCAGTTTGCCTAAACTGGAAATTGTATAATATAAATTGTATAATATATATAAATTGACGCAAAATAAATAATATTAGACAAGATCTGTTTTGCTCGAATAAAGATGTTTCGCTTTCGTGTTATACAAATAAAGTTAAAATCTTTTAATTATAATTGATCCGCTTGTTGCATTGTAAAAAGCCCTAAAGATAGAGCATCTCAAATTTGCGAAATATTTTTTCACGCTTTGCTGGACCGTTGTGGACGTTTAGGAAACAGTTTAAAACAATTAACTACAGTCGACCGTTCTGAGAATGAGTGCGAGCTATTGTTTTACTGAAAAAGAGCATGAAAAATGGAAACTTTTCTTGAATTTCAAACTTACAAAAATATCTTGTTCTTTGTCCCTTAGTACACATGATAATTTTCCGATCTTTTATTACATACGATAGATTGTTTATATCTAGGTTAATTTTTACGTATACACAAGCATGTTTAAGTTATTTTCACATATACTTTAACTTTTACAGAATATTGTATTTGTAAGATTGTGTATTTTTTTAAGAAAGAAATATTCAATTATTGTTCTTAGTGTTTTAAAGAAAAGGAATGCACAGGACACAAATGAACTATCATGTACACTGAAAAAATATACTAAATTTTAATAAATGTTTAAATAATACTAACGAGAGACTCTCTAATTAGAGTTGCAACACGAGACGATTTGAGCCAACTTTTGTATGCAGGGTAATCGTTTTAATAAAATTGATAACAGAGAAAGAAATATATTAGTATCTCTGTCTAACCTTAATGTGGCGTTAAAGTTAGAGATACTAATATATTTCTTTCTCTGTTATCAATTTTGTTAAAACTATTATCCTGCATACAAAAGTTGACTCAAATCGTCTCGTGTCGCGACTCTGATTAGAGGGTCTCTAATACTAACTAAATAGGGGAGGTCCAGGCAAAGCGAACGCCCTGGGCAAAGCGAATATTTTTTATTTTTGCTTATCTATCTGAGATAATGCTATGAGTCTAACTGTTGAAGGAATGACCGATCGGCGACGCCATGAAAGTGCGAAACAACATATGATTGTGCTCGTTTGTGTATGAAATAAAAGGAATTGTCTATTTTTTGCGATTTCCGCTAAAGTACGTAGCTTAATTATTAGCAGCAATTATTTCTTAATCAGTGTGAATGATTTTTTATAAGAATACTGTCTTTAAATGTGCATTTGAGATTAAACTTGTTCACTTGTTGCTTAAACTTATTCTAACCTTTCCAAATTCACGCCAAATAGATTCTTTAGGCAAAGTGAATGAGAGCAAAGCGAATATGTAATTGCACTGAAAATACCGGAAAGACGAAGGGACAGAAGATCTTTCGAATGAATAAAAGGCACATGATTGTTTAGGGCTTACTTTTATTTTTTTTTTCACAACACAGTATGATGTGTGTTCCAAAGAATACACCGACCCACTATTCAAAGACTGGATCAGTACAGTCAGTATTCCAATGGGCTCGTGAAGGTTGCACATATAAAGGATTTGGCAATTACTTTTGTGATGACTGCCAAGTGTCAACACTGATTTTGGTTTTTTTAATTCCATCCGCATTGCTCGAGTGACCTATCCATTTTGCCCAGAAGGGTCGGGCAAAGCAGATGGTTTCTCTTTTTTTTACGTTTTGACTAAAAAGACATTTAAATGTTCAAGTTTTTAAATGTAATTTTATTTTATTTTAAAGTTGATTCTATTAACAGAATTATGAGAATAGAAAAAATTTCTGATCTTAATTTTAACTATGTCATTTTTTTTCCCAAACCTTAATACATCCGCTTTGCCTGGACTTCCTCTAAATAATAATACTAAATGTAAGAATTTATATTTATATATATATATATTTTATTTGTTAAAAAAAACCATTAACTTGATTCAACTATCATTTTTTTATTTAATAAATATTTACTTACTGTAAATAAATATTTAGTTATTACTAAAAAATTGAAAAAATGCTATTAAAATTTAGTAAATGTTTTTTCATATACTAATCTCACACATATGTATATATATTTTTTATAATACCCTGCGTTCTTCTAAATTGGTCTAATTAAACTAACGTAATAAAATATTTTTGTAATCTGAGTTAGCACTATTTAAATCTCAAATTATAAATTGTTTGTAAAGTTACAATTCAGAATTTTAGATAAATCCTTAACTCGCGTCAAGATCAGCATTTTGGCCCATTAAGAAGTAGAAAGCACCATTTTATCACATTCCCGTTCTTACGAATTTACGATGGACATCAGGAAATCGTTGCGCCGTGAATTATTATTTAAGATGGTGAAAGTCGGTGACAAGTCGAAGAAAAGTGATGAAACAATCTTAAAAAAAAATAAGATTATTTTTCCACGTAAAGCTCTAATATGTTACCTTTCATGCTTGAATTTGCGCGGAGACGAATTACGATTGTCAGGGGACTCGCCCACGAGCTTTGTAATCATGACCGGTGAACGATGACGAGCCATCCTAATCACTTTCGAGATCGGTCTTCGCTGATTGCCATAACATTCCTGCGCGCTGATGGTGTAAATTATCAATCTCATGGATCCGTTTCGGTAATACCGTAATTGCAAGGACGTAAGACGAGAATGTGGCAACCAGCTTTTTCAATGTGTAACAAGTTTATTCTGAAAAAACCCGGGAAATTGGTATTTTATGATATAAAGGCGTTGATTCATCAAATTATAAGGTAACATTAGGAATCTTGAATAATTTTCTTAAGTGAAGGAATTGTGGTGATATTCGGTTTATAGAATGCTGCAATAAAATCATTGTAATTATAGGCAATATTATAAATACATAATGTACATAATTAAAAATAGCTCAAATTATGTCCAATTTAAGTCGTTTTTAATTATAAAAGTGAAATGAATTTTTATCAAATTTGGCACTCCTACTCAAAGTGTCGTTAATTTAAGTAAAATAATGGAGTTAAATAATTTAACTCAAGAAATGAATTAAATATATGACTCTTTAATTTATTATTTACTAAGTGCTTAATATGAACATATCTATTTTAAAACTAAGCAATTCAACCACAGAAATGGATTAATTTATATTTTGACGTAGAAATTAAAAGTAACAAAATGTTATTTAACTTAGGGAATTAGATTATCGTTGTTTCTTTAATCATTAACAGTTTAAAATTAAAAATTTATATTATAAAAAATTAGAAACACAAACCATTATTTGTATGTTTATATGTTTATATGTGCAAAAACGTTGAAAATTTATGCAAATTATATTCTAGCTGAAAACGAAAGTAAAAGATGTTACATACGTCATGTACAACGCATTATTAACTCCTTTCTCTTTTTTGACACCTCGAACCAAGACATTGAATTAGTATGTTATTACATGAACTATCTCTTTGAGTAAACGCGATCCAGCTGACAACAGCAAGCTTGAAACGTAACGCTTATCCGCATTAGTGAGAGTGACAAAACGCGAACCATTAAGTATGCGGATTCGAGCTCCAACGAAGTGATAAATCTCTACTGCTTATAATTAGAAATTACATTTTAAAACTAATTTGATCTTTTTGTTATAAACGTTTAATTAGTTTTTAATATTACCTGCAAATATATGATACCTTTCATGCGCTCGCTTTAACAATAACATAGATAAATGAGCCTACCTAATTAATGAGGTTCGTTAACAGCAATGAATTGCATCTATTAAAGAAAAAAATTGGCATGAAGAACGCGCTGAATTAAAATCGAAAGTGTTCTCCGACTAGATTCTATTGTAGAGAGCGACTCGCGACGAAGAATGTCACGACTGGGAATGCGCGCAAAGTGTACAAGAACTGGGTCGAAATTGGAGAGCACGATCGCGAAATCATCATTGCTTCTTTTATTTGTCTAGACAAGTTGCTTAGCACCCGCCTTTATACCTAAAGTCAACCAAGTGTAACTTTCTCCTTGAACTTCGAAAGTCCGGCGTATCCGTCATGTTTATC